ACAGACATAGATTCCTGTCTTCCCAGACAAGAGAAATAATACCAAAAATAAAGTAACTCCATTGTCTCACATGAAGCTTAATACAGTCCCTTATTTTCTCTACAGAAGACTGTCCTGATAGCCCAAACTCACTGCTGCTTTTCAGAAGCCACTTGGTAAAGACGGAAATAGTCTCTGCTGTCTTCAAAGATGGCATGTTTCAGACACCGGCACTTATGTGTACAACAGACAATTATTTTGGATTGTAGTGTTTGTTTCCCTTTTGTTTTCTGGAGTACCCTCTATATTAATAGCATTCTAGAACTGAAATGGACAACAAATGATCAGTATGACTGAACCTTTGTAGGTGCTCACATTCCTGCACGGTAAAGCAGCCCCACGCCATTTACTGACAACTAGATCTGTCACCACACATGCATTGCCTGGCATTAGACTTCCAGGATCTTTAAGGGACGAGACAGAGCTCAGTCAGCTGCCTTCTGTAGCCCATGCAGCTTTACACATAAGCCTCCTGCCTGTGGATATGTGTCCAAACAAAGTCACTTAGTCAACTCAACTGTAAATTCCAGATTTTTATTAAATGATTCATATAAGCAAGTCAAAACAAAAAAGGCTAATTCTCAGCTAGTCTCACACAGATGTCTTTTAGAAATTAGATGCAGTAATTTACAAGTCAGAAGTCTTCAGTTTACTTGCTATCTTCACAATTTTCTGTTGAAAGCGGTCAACAGGATTACAAATGCTTCTTTCTCTGGAAATTTAGGAGAGCGCTGAGGGGAGCAGAATCAACTGATCAGGTGGAAAGCAGCTCTCTTGATGATGCCTGAGGTTCATCACTTGACAAGGACTGGCCAGTAACACTTGCCAACATCCAAGGTGGTACAGAGCCATGAATGGGGAGCCATCTCATCTTGGAATCCTGTCAGATGGGATTAAGGGGAACATCTCTGATGTGGAGAGGGAACATGCTTGAAGTATGTCTTCATTTCTTTATAGTGGAGAATCTGTAGGCAAAGCTCAGATTTCTTAATTGGACAGAAAAGTGGAATTGCACTCTTCCATTTCTACTAATGAAGGGCAAAAGCACGGAAAAGTGGAGACACATTTGTAAAGAGAATGTGGGAAAGCACTGAACAAGGAGGTAATCAAGCTAGCTAAATGGAGCAAGTATTCTCTTAAAGCACTCTGCCTCCTGGTTCATTCTATCATTCATCCCCTTCCTCATTCTTCAAGCATCCATTTTCAAGATGACCTATGCAGTATCAGAAGGTCATCACAGACCTGGGTATTTCTCTAGATTATCCAACCACTGCGGTCAAATAGCCACATTCTGACAGTTTGGAGATGGCAGCACATGAATACAATTGAAAAGTGGTGGCCAGGGCTGAATTTCATATTGTTAGTGTACATGCACACAAAGAAAGGATGCATCACACCAACCATTACAAGAAAAACACTATCCTTCAAGTGGTTAAATTTGGATAAGCCCATATCCAACAGCTTTCAGCAAAACAGCTGCATTCATTCCAGGCAAGAATATCTTCACTAATTCTCAATACCTAGATTCAGTCAATTATTGTTTCCACAGAATCAAATCCAACATGACTATATTGTTCTCATTACCCAAGACTCTTGATGAATACACATACAATACTTCCTTGTATACATCATGACTGTACCAAGTACAAATAAATTACTTCTATCGTTTATGAACAGAATAAACAGGCAGCAAAAATGTTTGTACAGTGGTTTGCTTCAAACCGTACAATATGAATGTATCACCCATTATATGTCAATTTTTAAGTTAACTAGTGCCATGGCAAGGATTTTTGAAGTTCAGTCCTTGTGCAAACACAGCATTAATAGGCAAGTATGAGAGGGTTTATTAGTACAAGATAGCTCTACCTGATCACAGAGCGTGCGATGATTAGGTCCCTTCTAAAAATAATTCTGTTAATTGAAGAAGTTATCTTAGGGCTGTCTTAAACTTTTCCTGTGGTCACATTACTGAAATATAATGACTGTGTGTGGGGGTGGGGGAGGTAAATCAAGAGGTCAAAACTCCCATTAAAGTATGAAATGGTCGTAATACTGCAGAACAGCCACCACTTGCTTGGTAGTTAAGTTGCATTTTTACAGATACCTCTCATTAATCAAATCCACTTGCAATATTAGGCTGCCACCTAGTGTACCCATCCAGAGTTTTTGCAACTGTGTCTGCGTCAAGGGTATGCGTGCTGGGATATCCGATTACCACCTGCAAAATAGCTTCACTCTTCTAATTTATACATTCATAAAATGAAGCCGTGTGTGAAGAATCTAAGAATCAAAAAGGCAAGCAAAACTAACAGGTGATGCTGTGTTGAGCCCCTATCCGTAACCCGAAATTACATGCAGAAGTATTCTCCGAGCATGGCTAAGAGCAAAGAACATGTACACCAAGAGATGAATTAACCATTGTGTTTTACATGAAGTAATTATTTATCTGTGCACATATACAAAACATCTCAAGAAAGAAGGAATTTCCTGCATTTACTAAACATGCTTACACAGCCTTCTCCCAACCAGGTGCCCTCCAGGTTTTTTTGGACTACAACTTCAATCAGGCCTAGCCAGCATGAGCAAAGACCAGGAATACTGGAAGTTGTAGTGGATGGGAAGGCCAACTTAACAGATTTCAAAGATGATGGCCTGGTTTTACATACCTGATTGTTCAGAGCAGTTACTGATTGTTCTAAGCAGATGCCACAATAGAACAGCTGTCAATGTGAAGTTAGCAAAGACTTCAATGATAATTTAACACCTTAATAAAGTTTCAGGATTTATTTTATCACTCAATTCATAATATCTGCTTATTAGGTAGTATTAAGCTGCCACTAAGGTTCAGAGCTTTCACACTTGCACACAGGAAGAGCTTATGTGTTGAGATATTCCCATTTTAAATCACACTCTATCAGAGCCTTCCCTTTTAAAGTGATTAAAAAGGGTCTGGGCAATTGTGCTTTGTACTGAGAAACAGAAGGAAATAGATTATTCTAAAGTCTGTTAATCAGCTTTATTTTTGGAAGCCAAATTCAATATGCTTCTTATTGTAATTGGTTTGTGTAACTGCTGTAGCCTCTAAGACACATTATCAACTGTAAATGTCAAACTTTTGCATTTGTAAAGAGCAAGTAATTTATAATATATCAAATCTAAAGTGGGAGAAAGATGACTCTCACAAATTTTGAAGCTTAAATTCATGTATGGAACAGGGACAAACTTTCTTCATATCTATACAAACAATCAAGCAGGCAAAGTTCTTACCATTTCAGGAACAGACAATTTAATCCATATTACATAATTTCACTGAATACAGTTGATATCATCCAAAATCACTCCTGAGAGCAAAATAGTTTAGCATTACATTTTATATACAATTATGAAAGGATTATTAGAAATCAGAAGTGCCTCCATATAAGCAGAAGCACCTCAATGTACGTATACTGGTTATAACGTCCAAATGCACTGTTACTAATTCAATAATATTTATCTTTGAAATGTATGCCCAACTAAATGGCCCAGCCAGGCCTCTTAATTGCCTACTTGTGATCATCAGACTGTTGGAACTTCCCTTATTTTTGTGGCATGATAGCATGCCCACATCTGGTTACTTCCCAATACCAAGTTTTTAAGATCAGTCCACCTTTGATGAATGCTAAGTTTGGTCTGTTCTCTAGCCCTAAAATATATAACCGTTACTACAAGCTTTTGTATACAGTTTTAACAGTAAACATATCTTTGAAGCTTTCCTCTTGCACATACAAATATCAAAATGTATCTAGAAGTTACAGCCTGTACATTAGTCTTTTTTCCTGTAATCTTCCAATGATCAACTTCCTTTAAGGAATAAATGATTTCTTCTGACGTACCATTTATACACCACAGTATGAAGAGTCTTATAGATTTTAGAACTGATGAAGTGGGAACCAGGCTTGAGCATGTTTCTTCCAATCACCAGTCCAAGAAGACTTGAATGCAGATACCGGAACACACAAAAAGGAAATGTCTGTATTTGCATGCTTTTAAGTGAAACATCAAGCAGTGGTTTGTTGTCTTCTTTGCAAACTGCAAGTTTTATAAAAGTTTACCATAGAGAGCAGTGACAGTACATGATGTAAGTACGTCTTCTATTAAAAAAGCACTAGAAATCAAAGGCAACCAAGATGATGTATATTTTTTTCCTAGAACATTTCTCAGCTACATAAGATCTAACACACTTAGCTGCATCATATCCAAGAATGTACAAAATTCTGCTTACAGGTATAAGCCTTCCAGAATGCCAGTTTTTAAATAATTCCTTATGATGGATAACCGTTTAGAATAGCTATCTTGTGCTTCCAAAATTATCTACTTAATGATATAAAGACCAGAAATGAAAAAGCTATAAATTTAAGTGCAGAAAAACAGTTCAGACCCAATAAGATGCATTTTCTAAAACAAAGAAGGTATGCATAGGTGATGGGCAACTGTGCCAAGACACTTGCTGGGCATAGCTTCATTTTCCTCTCACAAACCTAAATGATCAAAGACTGCTCAGCCTGTATCAACTTGGGAAGTATCTGGAAATGTATAGAGAACATTTGGACTAATAAATCTTAAAGAATAATTACTGCTTGTTAAAAGACATGTTAAGTATTCCAAAAAGATAAGGGGGCATTAATGATGCAACATAAATACTCGCAGAGTCAAGCATATTTTAAAGATACATTCAGAGTATCTCCTCTTTTGACTAGTCCTATGTAACAAAACAAAGCTAGTTCTGACCTTGCATTTTGCTAAAAAGCCAGAAATCTTGCTGCTGTTAAATAGTAAGGAAATGGGTATGTTTCTTCTGAAGCTTCACTGGTACCAGCCTAAGCCACATGAGTGAACTGCACAGTACTCATCTGTGACAAGATGGTTATGTACAAAACATGTTGGAAAACCTTTCTAAAATAACAGTCCACAGAAACAAGCTACCCAGTCTGTTAACAGTTTTATTTTGTATGTTAAATACCATGGGACAGGGCTGTAAGGATGAAAAACTTTTTCAACAACTGCCTCACAAGGAATAAGAAATTCTGCCATGATATCAGCCAAGTAAGGTAAAGGAGGAAATTTACACACTAAGAGGAACCATTTCCCCACAGAATGCCTCATCATATTCCTGAACAAGTGGGATTAGCATTCTAATAATCATTTTTACGAGGCAAGAGCAACAGATAAAATTTTAAAGGATTATTAAAATAACATTTACAAGACTCTGAACAATTTTTAACTCTTATTAAAACCACAGAAAGAAAGAACAATTCTTTATTTATGACTTTTCATAAAGGACTGAATGTGCAACTGACACCTGCTATTGATGAATTAATATACAATTTTGTCCAGCAGCCGAACAGTTTGTCTTTTTTATTGTGTTGTCTAACCGTGCAAGATCATTAGAGGCAAAGCCTATATGATGCTGTACACAAAAATGGTCACTTGGGCCATACTACCAATGAAGTGGTAGGTAAATACATTTTTCTGACCGAGAAAATAAAAAGGAAGCTGCTATCTGCATGCTTCTTTCTCTTTCTCCCTGTCTACAAGATGAATTTCCCTAAAAAGAATCCAATGAAAATGGCTGCAATTACAACAAGAAGTGAGGGAAGAGGATTGGAGCCATTATCTCGGAGGGCCAAGCCTGATGGTCCAGGTTTATCCGAGTGTGTCACCTTTCTCAGCCTCAAACCTTCATCCTGAAAACACATGGAAAAAATTCATCAACAGAAAATTCAAGAGAAAAGATTCTATCAGATGTGAATTCTATCAATCACAGCACTTCAATATTTTGAGAAGTGTTTATGAGAAATCATAATTATATTTGAACTGTATCTGCCATTAAAGAATGCCAAGTTTACCAAAGCAGAAATTGCAGCATGTATGTATAATAGTAACAAAGCTGTAAGAGATTAATCCTCAGTATAAAATAGAAAAACAAGACCCTTCCTCTATATAATAACATTCTATCTGTTATGGTTCAGTTACCACTACTCAGTTTAGCTTCAGAATTATAAACGGGACAGTGAAATTTTTGGCAAGATTTGCCTGGCTATGGTGTTCAAAAAGGCAAGCAAAAGTCTGACTGACTTGGATACAGAGAAGCACAAGTGGAAAGGGAATGCCGCTATGAACACAGGGGGTTGAAGCCAAGCAAGGTCAAGCCGGGGCTCCTTCCTGCAAATATCCTCCAGCTAGCTTTGCTCTGCAAGGTGTGCAGCTTTCATTATTGCATCTCCTACATACAGGCCAACAGTGACTTACTAGCCCCAATTTAAAACAAGAATTAAATGTTAGGAAACATATTTATTGTAACACCATCAACTTTTATCTACCTTGCCTAATCAGATGTTGGTACAATAAACTGTAAGCAGTACTTAAACCACAATCTCAGTGTCATGAGGTGCTGTGGTTTAATAAGCCACAATATTTTTGACACCAGTCAAAGGAAGGAGACAGAAGGAAGAGGAATGGTTATTTTCAGTATGACAAGCTAAGGCAACCATGCTCAAACTGGTGTCTTCCAGATATCCTGTACTACAAATCTCATAGACCCTGACCAGAACTGATAGTACTTCTAGTTGAAAACATTTGGAAGGTATAAAGTTCAGGAAGACTGAAGTATGATTTATCAGATTGAAGTGACTGAATCTGAAAATGATCATTTTCTTTCAGGGCTGATTGTAACTGTGTATTCTCAGGAATCCACAGAGTTTGTGTGCTTGCTGTAAGAAATGCCCACAGAAAATGGCATTTAAACTGTTTTTAGTAATTATCCTGTCACGCGTGACTGCAATGGTGCTGCTTCATCTCAAAGTGGAAAAATACAAGGGAACAGGTAGGCATATCCAACACACCAAACTATGCTTTAACTGCCACTGTATGTGTATTGACTTGCAACATTTCTTCAAATATCTTGATTATGTTTCAAAAGCAAGTGACAAATTTAAAGGAAAATAAATATTTCTTTACTTTCTACAAAAATCTGTAACCAATGGCCACACAATTAAGAAGCCACAATGGCTTTTCCCCCCATCCTGCACTGCCTCATTTCTGTGATTACCCACATGAGTTGCTGTATCATTCAAATCTGGCAAGGCGGGCAGTTAAGGGTGGCCTCAACAGCATCACAGAACCCAGAGTTAGTTGTAGCTCTAGAATGCTTTGCAAGCCACCATCACTGAGTTAAGACAACACAGCAACCCACACCTTGCACAACTATTGATGGAAAGGAGGCAGCACATAAGGGGCAGGGAAAGGAAGCCACATATACTGCGGGATGGTGAGATTTGCCTGATTTCCTTCTTTTATCAGGCAAACCCAGTCCTCGTATGTCAAAGTATTTAACTCCAGTCCAAGGCAAGACCCAGTGCGATCACAGCACTTGTATAATTAATGCTGGACAAAGGGAAAGAATACAAGTGGCCATTAAATTCCCCTGGCAAACTGGGTCACCAAACCTTCGTGACAAGTCACCACTTTTCTTTTTCTTTTTGCCTAGCAAGCCCTCATGATATTGGTTAACATTGTTTTATGCTCACAAAATATTAGTGCTTAGCACTATGACAGTCTTGGATACTACCCCAAGAGTGTTAAGAAAATTAAAGTTTACAGTTCTCACAAAGAAAAAGTAGTCACATTAATTCAATATAACCAGGACAAGAAATATGTCATGGTTTTGCTATTCCAGAGTTTGTTCATTCATTCATTCATTCATTCATTCATTCATTCATTCATTCGATTTATATCCTGCCTTTTTCCCCAAAGGGCTCAAGGCAGCTTACATCATCTCTCCTCCTCCATCTTATCCCCACAACAACAACCCTGTGAGGTAGGTTGGGCTGAGAGTCTGTGACTGGCCCAAAGTCACCCAGCTGGCTTCATGGCCGAGCGGGGACTAGAACCCAGATCCTCTGAGTCCCAGTCCCAGGCTCTTAACCACTACACCACACTGGCTCTCTCAGTTCTCAAAGGGAAAAAAGGTGGGTTGTATGATATGGGTGCTATGATCAATAGCTCAGTTCAGTTTAAGCTGTTTTTAGCAATCGGTTTCATAACACTTCCAAAGACAGGGACCAATTTTCCCTTTCAAGAGCAACTCTTCTTAAACCTCTATTACATGAAACTTACTCTCAGGTGTCTATTTTCCTCTGATAGCTTCACCACATCTGCCTGAAGTCTTTTGCATTCTTCCATTAGCTTCCTTGTTTCAGTGTCATTAAGTGAAACACTATGTGGTTTTGGCATTGGACCATCCTGTTTAGTTGTATTCAGTATTGGAGCAGATTTGCTTGCATCTATGTCATTCTGCAAATATTTCAAACAAAATAAATTTCAAAAATATAATTCTGTAATAGAAACTAGCATTAAGCATTTTTCAATTTAACAGTCACTTGAATGAAAAATTGCTAGGTTAGCTCCCTAGGTGGCAAATCTGAAAGCAGGCAGAGGGGGAAATGAAGCAAAGAATAACATTTGTTAAAGGAAGGTGAAGTTATGCCCTGACTTCCAGGGAAACTGCTGCAGAGAACCAGTCATTTTTGGCTCGGTGGTTGAGATGGATATAATATTGCTCAGTTCATATAATATTCTATATAAACTTGCTATGGTTGGGAAATTAGGAATGACTGTACACTGTTCTCTGACCATGCATTTATAATTAAGACAAGGGGCCTCAAACTTTTCCACCAGGGGGCCAGTCTGAAAGCTGCTGGTGCTGGGCGCAGGCCAGAAAGGCAGTGCTGGCGATGCACGTGGGCCAGCACGGGGGTGGCGCACGCGGGTGCATGTGCTGAAGCAGGGACAGGGCGCACGGTGAGGCAAGGCGAGGCAAGGTGTGGGCGGGCGCACGCGGAGAGGGGGGCAAGGTGCAGGTAGGCATGTGCGCCCAATACGGGGAGGCGAGGCACGGCGCGGCGCGGGCAGGGGCAGGCATGCAAACCACAAGCAAACCACTGCCTCCCCGCATGCGGGCAAGGTGGGTGGTAGCAGGTGCGGGCAAACAAGCGGCGGATCCAAATGGGCATGGCGGGCTGGATAAATGGGCATGGCGGGCCGGATCCAGCCCCGGGCCTTAGTTTGAGGACCCATGGATTAAGAGTTAGTCATGGTGCAAATGTAATACTGTGTATAATTCTCAAAATGAGGGGAGCACAGGTTGAGAGGGAGGGAAGGTAATGCTTCTGAACCGATCTGCACCAGTTACCTATACATTTTATGTGGATATTTCTAAATAAAGGGCCCAATCTGCAATACAACTCAATAAATTTTCAATATTTAAAAGAAAATCTTTGCCAGATTTTGTTGTCATAAATACATTAAAGACTAGGATAAACGTGACAATTTACAACAGGGCATATTGTATGTGTTTGGCTCATACAAGGTTGAATCAGGTGCAAAATTCAGCTGCTTAAAATTCAAATTCTTTTTAGAAATGTGTACTGTAAAACATTGAGTATAATACAGAAGCCCATACAAGGGGGAGGGAGTGGGAGCGGGAACATCTCCATAAAATACCACAAGTTACTACAATTTTTCTCTCTTAATTTTCTCCTTCTACCTCACTCAAACTTTCCTGAGATAGCTTTCTTGCAGCTACACAACACACTACTGTGGCATGAGACCCGATTCCATTTTGCAAGTGCAAACCATAGTTTGTTGGTTCACATGTAATGGTAAATAGTGGTTTGCTGAAAATCAAAAAGAACTAATCAGTCACAGTGCAAGGGGAAAAGGAAATGCATAGGTTCCTGCCCTTCCTGGAGCTTTTCTTGCTTTAATGGCCCTTCTTGCAACTTCTAACTGATGCTTCTCATTGTTTTCCACTGCTCTGCATCTCCATCTTAGCTAAAGCCCAAATATGGGTACGGAAAGTTGTACCACAAAAGAATATCAGCTGAAGATTGACGCTTTTCTAATCATAATATTGCATTCTAGGATTAGCCTAATACTGATATTTTCTTAGCTAACCAAAGCTGATTTAATGAACCACTGAGGTACTAAAAGATTCTTGTGGCTTCAGTTCCCCGAAACAAACCTGATTCTTCTTCAGTTTGAACTCACTGCCTGGCTTCAACCTGTCAATCTTCTGGCTATAATTTGCAGGTAACTGAAGAACGTTGTTCTTGGCTGGAGTTAAGTGTACAGATCCTGGTGAAGGTAAAATCTGAGGTGGCGAGTAAGACATGCCCTCAGCACTCAGCAGATCTCTCATTGCAAGACTTAAGGGAGTGACTAAACCAACGGCTAAAGGATTAGGCTCTGCAACCCCACTCTGCTACTTAGAAAAACATAAGTGTTATGCACAAGCAGTCAGGCAACAGCTTACAAAGCATTGAAACAGGCAAAATGACGCTGGCTTCAGACACTTGATTTTACCGACTAAGCCTGCAATCGTAAACAAACCTTGTCAGGAGTAAAGCCACCGAAGGCAATGGCACTTATCTCTGAATAAACAGGCATAAGATTGTGTGACAATGCAAAATTCTATTCCAGTTATTAGAAGCAGAACTTCCAATAGCAAAAAGCAACGATTTGAATTCTGGCTGGGATTGCCATTCCTGTATCCTCTATGAGACTAACCTGAGACCCATCATTCCAATTCATTTTTATAGTCGAACTAAGTCTTTTTAGCTTGAACCATAAACATCTCCTCACATGGACAGATACACACTTTAGTATGGCAGGGGGAACACCTTCTTCCCCCATACACATACAAACAGATATATGATTGACAAATGAAATACAACAACTGGGAGGCAGTCTTTACATGTTGTGTTGTTACCCTGAAAACCAAAATAATTGACTCGCCCACTATTTTTTGTTCTCCTTGAGTGAAGGAGACCAGGTAGCTTAGGGAAGGCCCTGTCTCTAGAGTCAGTTTCTACCTTAGTTTTCCTGGAGGATTTTTACTGTGAATCTGTGTCCTGTCAGAAAGGTTCTTTGTTGGTGCCTTGTCAACTTCTTTGAATGACCTTCAGGCTGTGGAAGCAATGCCAGTGAAACCTGCATAGCCTGCATGTCATCTAGAAGGAGACTGGCCAAGGGCTGGATATAGCCGGCATCCTTCACTCAAGGAAAATAGAAATCCGAGGGTGAATAAAACATTTGTTTCTTCACTTGTGTGCAGAAAGCCAGCTAGCTCTGGAGATGTGAAAAAGCACTACTTTTTGTTGGGTCCAGGTGGCCCAACAGATCTCTCATGCCAGCTTCCTACTAGAATGGGATTTCCCTTCAGAGAAGGTACCAACCAAACGCAAACTCAACGGAGAAAAACCATTCTGATTTGGCAGTGTCTGGTGAAAGTGTGTCCCATGGCATGTTGTCATCATCATGGTTTGTTGTATTGGCTGAAACATGTCTTTGCATGTGCTAGTCCCCACAGATGGTGTCCTACCATGTTAAGCAAGCATATGTGATTAGATACATGTTGGAGTCTGGATGGGGATGCTCACTTAGAGCTTAGCTGGGTGGATCTATCAGCTGAGGGAGGACATGACTTCTGCTCAGAGTTCTGCAACCACTGAATTAAGGTTGCTCACTAACTCCATCAAGAAGACCAGTAGGTAAGATATCAAAGGATTTGAGTGTAATATTGTTCACTGGCCAGACTCCTGGCACAAGGCCATCATTCCCATTGCTAGTTTCTAGAGACAAATTTTCTTTCTGGACTGGACACACATTACTTAGCTGACTCATCTTTTGTCATTTTGACAGTTATTATGCACTTGATGGCATTTAGAGTCAAGGGAAGAGAAGGAACTTTTCCTATCGTTGATCAGGAAAACCAAGGATCATAGGACCACCAGGGTCTCATTCATGTCCTGGGTATTCTATTCCCTTAAAGGGAAGAAGATCAGGATATTATCTTAGTAAGGGCACGAGCAGGAGCATTATGAAGACCTGAAACAGGGGCTGTGGCCAGTTCAAAGGGAAGGGTCCTGAATGGAAAGTTCAGAAACTTTCAATGAAATGGGTGGATAGGGATGTGAAGTACATCTCTGATAGACCCACTGAGGAAAGACCACTTTCCTGAAGCTCTACTATATGAATCTTAGGGTTTCCATCCAGAACATTTACTTTTTCAGGCAGTAGTTCATTCCTTTCAGATCCTGGATGGGTCTGGCCTCCTCATTTTTTCTTGAAACCACGAAGAACATTCAGTAAACAGCTTAACTCCTTCCTTCTCAATGACTTGTATCTTGAGTAGATGTTGCATTGCTGCTAGAATCCCCAGATGTTTAGATCCCTTCATCTACTATCTCCAAAGCCCACCAATCTTCCTGTTCTTGGCTTCCACCAAGACATTGACCACTGAACAGGTATCATCTGCCTGTGAACAGGAATCTTGCCTTTTTTATTTCTGTTGGTGCCCAAGTTGCACTACCAAAAGTCCTTCACACAACGCTTGATGTTGTGACTCTTGCGTCCATATAGAAAGAATCTGAGGACATACCAACCAGAAAAGGCTGTTGCTATGGCAATCTCCTTTGCCTCCTTTGTCAAGGCTCAGATCTAAACTGGGCCATTTGTCCCCATGTAAATGCTTCACACAGCAATGCTAAATGTGGCCAAAGCATCTGCAAAGAGCTGATCTGACCCATCAAGGATGCTGATCCATAGGAAATGCAATGTTCTGAAACTACAAGTGCCTTTAAGGTGAATATGGTCACCAGGGCATCATGAAATCTTCATATAGATGATAAAAACCTGTCACAGTAGTGATGGCTTCTCCTAAGTTTGGCCAGACTATGCCATTTCTTACATAAGTTTTTTCCCAACTTTCCTTTTTAAGGCTCAAATAACTCCAATCCAAGTAATAATTTATGCCCTGTTACTTGACATTACATAGCAAGTCCAGGGATTCTTGGAATGCTGGATCCTGCACCCAATACAAAACACATGCAAACTACAAGAAGCCTATGAAATATATTTATAATGTCAGGGCAACAGCAATCCTAATCAGGATCGCCTAAATGGGGGAAAGGTGTTAGCTTCAGCCACTTATTCCACTCTTTGAGTATGCATGCATGTGCTCCTAAGTGCACACATGTGTCCCCAAACCACCACCTAGTACCACCTTAGGCCTACAGAGCTAATAATATTAATAATAAATCTCACCCTGATTTCAGAATTTCTGTGATACAACCATTGAGATGTAATCTATACGTGTCCCAAGAGGCAAAACCTGTAAAGCTCTGCAAATGATACATAGAACCATCACCTTGTTTTACTCTCACATTTAAAAAATTATCTCCCTAATTATAAGAGGAGTTTGTGGTCCACAAAGAAGCATTTGTATAGCTTATATCTTTAAAAAGTTAGTTAATGAATAGGTTACTATTCATTAAGGCTACCCTCTATGCTGAAGCATTTAGCAGACCTGAGTAATATCCAGGAGGTTGATCACAGCACCTGCTTTAATAGACCTGGTTGTATTAACTTGTCTTAGGAGTTTAAGCTATTTACATTTTGATTTTAAATCACTAGTGATAATGATATTTTATCATTATTTATATTTAATAACGTTATTGTATTTTATGGATTGTTGTACATCACTTCGAGAGCTCTGATTCTTGGTCAGCATAGGAATAAAATTAATAAATGTAGAACTTCCAGCCAAATATCAAGTTCACCGTTTCATCACACCTACTTTCTGCAAAACTATACTGAGTTTGATACAGAAATGCCAGGTGCTTGGACAGGTTCATGCAATCACTTGGCACTAGATCCTTGCATCTCTTGTCTAATAAAAGCTGGCTGAATTATGAGTGGAGGTTACTACATTTTAGCGGTTCTGCACCTACTCAGACAGATTACTCCAGAAGGTAGCTCAGCCTCCTAGACTCTTCAGTATGAGTTTCCTCAGGGTTAGTCTTGCCCACATGCCATTTAACATTGAAATGAAAATGCTGATTGAGATCATTACCAGGTTTGCAGTTCTATTTTTCTTTTTCACCTTCAGGAGGTAAACTACTCACAATTAACATCTAGGACCCAGTCTTTAAATTCTGTATTGTAATTTTTATGATTTTTATTGTTATCTGTATTTTATTGTATTTCATCTGCTGTTGTAAACTACCCAGAGAATATTAAAAAAACCTACCCTACAAAAATAAAATCATCACCACCACAACTTTGCAGTGGTAACCACAAAAAACATATAACAACTGCAGTGGTGCAGAAAAAGAGGATGACACACTGAAAAACAATGTATTGGTAGAGGTGAAAGAACATAGATCTAAGAGAAATGGCTAGGCACTGTGAATTATAGTAAGAAAATCAATGGGTAGTTGCTGAAAGCTACCCATGCTATGTAAAGTAACTGTCATGGTCAAAAGTCTCTTAAATCATGAGAAGGAGTACACAGTTTTAAAAATACTAACATTTCTGGATCCTTAGGATTTCACTGGATTTTGCAGATTCTTCTTTAAACATAGGATATTTGTGCTTCACAGCATGACCCTGACCATATAGATTTCTAGATACAGTAATGGCAGGACCTGCCCTGTTGAGCTGCCCAGATTAGTGCTGCATCTTTACACAACATTTTCAAGAATAAGCATGTCATACGCTGCATGTACTGCCAGTACAAAAGTTCTACAGGTGGTAGACCATAGGTAACCCAACCTAAAAGGGCAGAAGTGTAATGCAGATACATGCAGCCCGTGCTTCCCAGTCTAAGTTCTTAACAAAAACACTGGAATAATTGGCAAAGGAAGCTCCTATGAAAACAAGCCTTTTTTTAACTCATGCCCCACCTTGTTTCATCCTGCTCTAATGATACAAAACTTAGTAGTGACATGGAGTGTTGTAGGATTTCTTTTAAATCTTTCTAGGAAAACAATTTATTTCATGCTCAATTGCCCTTTTTTCAGAACTTTTATTCTTCCAAAAGGATTGCATGAGATCCTTACAAGCAAGCCTTGATGTTTTTCTACCTAATCTAGCATCACATTCCCACTTCTTTGCACCTGTTTGAGACAGAGCTCCATTCACAACTAACCTGCACTTACAATGCAAGCAATGCTGATTTTGTCCAAGGCTCATTTTGAAAATTTGGTGATGTACAGACCCAATTTCAATTGAGAAGTAATTTGACAGATAAGTTATGAAAACAGAACATTTATATGCTAAACAGATTACAAAGCTCTTCAATACAGAATTATATAAACTCTTCAGATACAAATGAAAATATCAAAAAATAAGTTATTAGTTTATGAGAAACAGACAAAGTCACCATATATGACTGATTGTTTTTACTTACGAGCTTATCATTTTCATTAGGCATTTCAAATACGCATCTCAATTTGGAATCCATTAATTCTTCAGGTTTTGCATCCTTCCACTATTAAAACAGTGAAAATATTGTAAAAGTTACTGTTTTATTTAATAGCTTCATAACTTTTCATAATATGCAAACTCTGTCATATGGAGGAAAAAAATCAGGGCATAAATGTTGTGATGATGATGATGATGATGATGATGAGGATAGCTTTAAGAATCAGCATGATGCAACAGGCTGATAGGGGTGGAAATGAGAAATCTAGGTTCAATCATTATTCACTGTGTCCCCAGTCCAGTACTAACACTATAACACAATGGCACTCTTTTTATCCCCAAGTTTGATGAGAGAAAGAGAAGGAACAGGGGAGCAAATGGCTTATGAATATCTCAGGTTATTAATCCAAGATATCTAAACTAAACCACTAACTCAGAGTTTATCCTACAATGCAGGGTTGCTTAGGTGAAATCAATACAAAATACAAATTTCACATGTAATCATCAAAGACTGTGAAAAATGTTTTTTTAACTTGTTAATTAGCCCATTTGAACAGAACTATCAGGAAAGAAATTTGATTGGCATATTCCTAGGAAGATGGACTTCACTTTATTTTTAACCATCAGTCATAGTACGGCACAACATTAAGAATTAGGAGGAATTCAAAATATCTGGTGGATTCTTGTGGCTTCCTGCCCCCTAAAAATATTTTCAAGTAATAAGAAATAGAATGCAACAAAATTTTGCCGTATGGTATGCTTCTCATCATAATTCCTGCTGCTTAATCACATTTCCCTTCCCTTTTCCTTTGTGTGACTTTTCGTCCATAGTGAGCACCCTATGCCCACCATCTCATTTTTTCCTCCCAGTGAGGATAAACTCACTGGTGCCTAATCCTTGCTGTATTAAATGTCTTATTTATCCACTGCTGTCTATGGGCTGATTTCACATATGTCACTGGGGATTTTTTTTAAAGCCTAAATTCAACTCTGAATTGATATTTCTTCTAGGACTTAGTGTGGCCACCTTATTTCCTTCCTAAAAATTTCAGAAAATAGTTATTTCCAAAAACTCTAACAAGCACCTGAATATAACACCAAAGTAGACATTTTGGCAGAAACACAAGCAACAAATTAGGACACAGAAGTGATAGTGTTCAACATGCTTTTTAAAAAGCACAAATACTGTAGTTTGGATGAAGTTTCTAGGCGGCTAGGTCAGGCTTATATAAATTTTTCAGAGTAGGAATAATATAATCACTTTGTCTCTGTAGCAAGGAAGCTAGACTTGTTTCCTTTTGTAGTTTCTAAGTGGCACATACATTCTCTCTTAGAGAGTGCCACCTCCATCCACACCTGTTCCAGCAAAACAGTTCAGAATAATTTGGACAGAATCCAAAAAGTATGGACCATTGTAAGGTAAGCCTGAGGAGGCTTGTTTCAACATGGTGGAAGAACTCACATCATAATCATCATCATCATTATTAAAATTTGAGAGCCACCTGTTAGCATCATGCTCTCTTGAATTAAAATTTAAGACATATGCTTACTTACCACTGCTTCCATATCTGTAATGTTTGGTGGGGCAAAGATTGTCTGTACCATGAACTTGTGTTTACTCTTCTCATTTGGATCATAGTCAAATGGCTGTAACATCACTGTATAACAGACAAAGTATGAATTATACAGAGGTATGTAAGGTATTTTTTTCTTGTGTACATTTAAACATATTTAAAGCATTTCAACATATTGAACTGAATAAGAACTATGTGAAGGTTTTGTCAGTCAGTGGTATGCTTTAGCAATACATAACTGAAAGAAGGTCACTCTTAATTATCAAATTCTACTATTTATTGAAAATTTGCCTTTCTATTTATCTACAATAATCTGAGCTCTATAATAGAATGTCAGTACATAATTAAGGTGCTTCAGACAGAAACCAAAAACACTGGAAAATAATGGGTATAATTAAAGATCCATCCCACTATCACCTCTCTGTCAGATATTATTTATTTATTTAAAGTTTTTATATCTATATATAGATATCTATATAAGAGCCCCTCAAGACAGCTAGGATAGACAAAAACTTGTGCAATAATCCCAGAGAGGATGTCCTTTAAATAGGAAGGATATGATAATCAACAAAGGAAATAATCCCTTTGCCAAATGTTTCACAGTGTATAATGTAAGCAGATGAGATTAAAAACTCTAAAAGTAAAGCGATTTGCCTTTTAAAAAATTCACAAATTTCTTATCACAATGAGGATACAAATACAGATCAGAAAAATAATATCAACTAAATATTATAAGGAAATAAAGCAGCTTTGTTAAAATATTACATTTAATACTTCACAGTGCACTAAAGAAGTCATAATTCTCAATCTTGGACTTTTTTTTACTATTTTCCCAATTTTCTGAAGATACTCTAAGGGACTGAACTGTACTGTATCTCCAATGCTACACTTGTGAATAACAAATTACCAAAAGGACTTACTGGTATGACAGGTTTTCCCAGAAAACATTTGTTGATTTACATTAGTGATTGTGTTGCACTGGATACTACCCACTTAATACAAAATATATATATATCCTTTCCTTCTGGCACTTACACACCATCAGGGAAACTGACAGCAATTGAAATAAACCATAAAATAGAATACTGCTCTCCAGAAATCCAAAATATAATAAAAGCAGAATAGATACAGGACACACAAAAGAGAAGCATTTCTTAAAACTCTATGATTGTATGATTATATTATGAAGCAAATGCCTGGTCAAACAGGAGCCAGAATAGCTTCCCAGGGTGAAAGGGTCCACAATGCACTATCACGTGATGATTGTCTTACACTGCAGTTAAGTACCCTGGCAGGCTCCATACCCACCACACCAACACTACCAGCCTTTCCACTGGAAAAAATAATGGGAAATGTGCTAGCTGGCCTGCCAGTCTATGAAGGTGCCCCAGTGCCTTCATAAATCAATGCTGAAAGAAGCCTCAGGTACTGGTAGGCATGCGTGAGCGTGCCAGCTTGTTCGCTGTGTAAAGGTGCTCAGAGTGCCTTCATACAGCAGTCTCCAAGCAGACCCATGCACACTCACCTTTTCAAATGAAAGGCAGGTAGAAGAGCTCGCACTGGCTTGCATCTGCTCCATAAAGGCATCTGTTCCAAATGCCTTCTCCTAACAGCTTCCAAGTAACCCGCCCCCTGCCCTGAGCCTCTCCAGGCACTGGGCACTCCCCAGACCTCTGCACATGTTAGAAGTTTTGAGGGTGGAGGTGGAGCTGCTGGCCAGGACAAAGAGATTTGGTTAGTAGGCCAAGCCAATATTTCTGGGCCCTTGGCTATGGCTCTTACCCTCATCTCTGCACCTTTTAAGAAGGGAACATATTCTAGTCCCACACATTTTAGTCTCACAACTTAGAAAGGTTTCGTGTGCCCATTCTTTCTCTTCAGTCTGTTCTTCCTTTCCTGCAGGATAAAGATACTGATGCCATAATCAACCTGGAAGCACTAGCCACCCTGAACCCTTTGTATGCTTTCATTTGCAGTGAAGAAAATATCACATGTTTACAATGATGTAAATGGTGTTCACAGAGGAACAAGATTGATTCAAGGTGTGAAGAGGAATACAAAACTGGGATCAACTGAAGATCAACTGAGTCAAGTGTCTGTACCATCAGGAGACAATATATAAAGCTCTATATGAGTGAAGGAAAACATTTAATTCACCAAGTTCTATACAAATGCCTATCACTTATACAGAGTTTAATGTATTCAAACCGCAGCCCATATTACTAATTCTTATAGCAACCCTGTAAGGTAGTCCATTTGGAAGCATGTACTAGGAATACAGCAAACGAGTAGAGCTGGTTTGCTACACTGATAAGAATGTTGAACTCGGACTGGGGAGATGAAAATGAGGCCAGTCACTCTCTTTCAATCCAGCTATCTCACAGGTCTATGAGGGAACAGTGTGATGCTCAGGGACACTTCACTAAGCTCCTTGGAGAAAGCTAAGAATAAGCATGTAATAAATCAATACAGAAATAAAATGACTATTATTATTACTCTACGGATGTGCAGCACTCAAAATTCTACTCCAGTTAAGCTTGACTGGAATCTGCAGTGTTTCTTGTTCAGTAAGCAACAGTGAAAATTTCTTTTCCCCTCACTATGAAATTTATTTTGCCTATTTTCCCAGCTTCTACCAGTTTGGAGAGGGCGGAAATTACCTTAAAATGTGTGCTAATTGGGTTTTTTATTTTTGCATAGGCAATCTTGCACCAGTGGACATGATCACAAGTTCAGCTGACCACTATACAGCCCTGCAAAAGCATCCTGCCCTTGTGTAACTAGTCTTGTCAGTTTCATCCTCTCTACACAATTCAATTAGCCCAGTTATTCTGTATTTCTGAAAGTACATGGCAATCCTTCCCCCTCCCCCGCTCTTTTTGTTGTGGTAACACTGAAGTGGAGGATGAACTTGAAAAGCTCTTTAACAAAGACGGAATACAGCTCTGTGCTAGGAATCCAAACTATCTTACTCGGAGCTGGAAATCCAAGCTATCCTGTGTCTAGGAACCAAGAATCATCCCTGCCCAACGCAGGTGCAATAAATCAATGAGAAAGAAATTCAAAGGGTACCTACAAATCACTTATTATATATTTAGGTACCTACCTGCTACAGCCAAAATGTGTGACAATTATTCCTCTACTATCTTTCTACACCTAATTACACCAAATAGTGGTTTACAAATAAATAACTACAACTCAAAATACTGACTGAAAGTAAGAACCAGAAATAAAACAATAAAAACCAAAAGTTAAAACATCCTAAGAAAACCCAAATTAAGTAAACCATCACTGAAATAACAGTCTTCACCACCCATTAAGAGATAGAACAGAGAAAGGTGGTCAGATGCAGGCAAGCTGTTCCATCATCTGTGCATAACGGCTTAGAAGGGCTGCTCTCTTGCAATCAGTTACAAAGATCAGACAGAAAAGGAACATGATGGTGAGCTTCCAAAGCAGAAGAGATTGTTCCCATGCAGTTTCATAGGGGAGGCAATTCAGAAGGTTCCCTGGCCATATACCATTTAATACTTGAAAATTCAAAACAAGTACCATATTAAATGTATATATAATGTTATATCACCAAAAATAGCACTTAAATTAACTGAACCCAGATATTAAAAGGTAATTACTGCAGGCAGAAAAGAAACTTGCACAGTATATTGTGATGCTCCTATCAGAACTTTTGCAGCCACATTGTGGACCAACTAAATTTTCCAGACAGTGTTTGAAGGCAGTAGCACATAAAGTACATCATAATAATCTAACCTGGAAGTCACTAGGACATGAATAATTTAAGCTAAGCCTGAGTTTTCTAGGTAAAGACACAATGCTTCATTATCACCAAAACAAATGTAGTAAATGTTCCAGATATTCATTTTCTAATAGATTTGTTACACAGAAAAAAATGCACTCATTCATTGAAGAAAGTGATATGCAGTTCATCTGGTTCTCCAGATAATCATCAACTCCCATCAGCTTTGACCAGCATAGCTATTGCTTCATGAAACTTTTCACCTCGTGAAGAAACCTCTGGCAACAGACTGCCTTCTCCTCCCACAAAGAGAGAGGTCTGCAGTATTCAGTGGCTTAGAATACATTGCCCAGGAACTCAGGATTGCTACCGCAACCTCTACTGCTACCTCAAGTGAAGTAGAGAATGTGCTGCCAGATGCAGGGAATGTGCAATGAATCAGGTTTGGAGGAGGAAATCTGTTGGAGTCCCTTAGTCCAGCTCCCCAGACTCCAGCCCACTTTCCCTCTGCCCTAATTCTGAATTGGCGTTTCTTCACCAAGCCTTTGCATGGGCATCCGGCAGGAAGTGAGTCCACTGTTGCACGTTACAGATGCACAGCAGCAGGTCGTGCTCATGAGGCTGGCTTGGGCATATGTCACCCATGTGCCCACTGTGCAAGTGGAGTTCCGCTTGCACATACATCACTTGCTGTGCCTACAGGCAGCAGCAGGGACTGCACACCTGGCACTGTCAGTAGGTTCCGCAAAGAAAGGGCCCATTAGTATTCCCAGGTATTCTCAGAGACTTGGTCTTGATTTGGCTCAATTTGTAAGCCATGATTGAGTGCAGGAAAGAAATCCAACATGCTTAAGACAACCAGATTCCAGAGAGTTCCACAGTAGATGCAGGTATCAAAAAAATGAAAAATGATGCACATATACCTTTTCACTGTACTTGGGCAACAGGATATTAATAAGAATTATGTTTTAACTGTTAATTTCCTTGTTAAAATGTTGTAGCTTTTACCTGGAAAGAGCCAACACTGAAAGGAACAAAAACAATCAAGCTACTTAAAATATTACCTGATACAGTTACAGAGGATCCTGGGTCAATAATTCCACTGTTTGGCCTCACACAGTATCGACGAGGTGCTGTAGTCTTCACCTTGAAACATACTTTTCTGTCTGACGGGTTTCGTAGTTTAAGATTTGTAGTGACTACATCTGTGAAAGGGCCTGAAAGTAGATTTATATTAAGGAATTAATTGGTTATGTCTTTGAAAACAGACTTTACAAGCACACTACCAGTTGTTCCCAAGACATACAAGCAGACTATTTCTAGAAGGCAGTTGTGAGTGGCCGGCAGGTATCTTCCTTTTCCACCTTTCCTTCAATGTCCTGCAGCTTTGGAAAAGCTCTACCAACAAATCTCCACATAAATCAACATTTTTGGTACCACTACTGCTTGATTCTGGCTCAGCTGAAACAAACTCTTCTGCCTGATGTAGGAAATTTTCCAAACTCCACTAACAGGTTTCTCTGTTCAGGAGTCCCCATTCTCTGAAGACACTTTTCAGGGGAAGGAAGGGAAAATTGGCTGGCTGAGTGGCCTTCTGTTCACACTACCATTAGATATAACTCCGTATGTGCTGCAGCAGTGGAAAGGGCAAAATAAATGTGAAGACTTGTCAGAAAACAAATCCTCAATAATATTGTTCCAAACCTATCCTAATGTACCTTCCTTCAAAGACAGGAGATTTAGGGAAAGCATTCAGTCTGGGAGGTCAACCTCTAAATGCCCTTACACAGGAATAAAGTTGATTTTCACTAATTTATGAATTCAGTAATGTCTCTGACAGCCTCAGTCATAACACTAATCCCAACCTTAGCCTCAGACTGATTTGCATGTTCATCAATTAAAAGAAACAAATTCTGCTCCTTATGCATCTATCCTTCCACTTCTACAATCAAATTTATATATGCATTCCCATAATTTGATGGACATCTTACTAACACAATCACAAGAATAAGCTACAGATGAATAAGGATAAGGACATTTTATTTCTTTATTCAATTTATACCCAGTCTTTCCACCAAGAAAATAGCATTCAAGAGGGCAGTAACAGCCAAACAGAGCATACAGATGAGAAAGCATACAGAGAAAGGGGTCTCCAAGGACAATAAGCAGAAGGAAGAAAGCAAGAGAAGAAATGGTAGGGAGAAATCCAGCTGGGAAAAGATTATCATATGTCCATACACAAAATCCACACCTAATTTTAAAACAACATTATGACTTCAGTTACTTGGGAGTATGTCTGTTTGAACACAGTGAGACTTCTGAACAAGTGTGCAGATCGGGTTGCAACTCAGAGTTTTTCCATATTTAATAACCACATTTAACCTATAATAGCACATATGACTGTCACTATCTACAGGTGCCAAGGGCTTCCTTAAACCATACTATCAGTGTCAGCTGTACAGCCAGCTTCTTGTTTTGGATACAAACATTCTCCAGTAACCAATTTGTTTTCAGAGACCCCTTCAAAGTCCCTAGTTTGTATGCTAAAATACGAAACGATGAGTGCCAACACCTGTTATGGGGCATCAATGTAACATGTATGTCAACAACATGTGCTAGTAAATTCACTATCCAAGCAAAAGCATTAAGCACTATTCCACATTAAACATAACTAAAATGCCCAAAATATATTCATTATCAACAGGAACTACAAGTTACACAAAATTAAATGGCAATAAAATTCAATTAAACTGGCTTGCCTCCAAGTGCGCCCTTCTCCTAGTAGAAGGCATCTTTATTCATGAAAGGGCTGTTTCTGATTTACTGGAAGAATTCTGCATGAGAAGAATGACCCAAACCCAGTTAATGCTCTAAGCTTCAACACAAAATACAGAACAAGCTCTTTCTAAGACCTTTTGAGTCATTCGTGTGTTAGCTATAGCATGTTCTTCCTTGTTCAAGAAGTTTCTCAAATTGTTAACACAGCCCAATACACAGCAGTGCAATAATGTAAGCAGTTTTCCATTGACACTTCCATAAGATTACTAGAATTAATTCTCTCTTATGCAGAATTTAAATTACCGGGGGAAAGTAAGGCCCTCAATGAAATACACAAGTGAGATAGTCTGTCCTCATTTTTTTTTTTTTTTTTTTGCCAAGCATTCATTTCTCATACTCTTCTAAAAGCAACAGCTGAGGGGTATCTTGACTTGGCATTTGGAACAATCCAAGTAATTTCAGCCATACCTGCAGTAACTAAAGTTTAAAGAGAACATTGTAAATGGAAGAACAGCATCACTTTTCCCAACACAAAATGAAGCCACAGAACACAACAGCTAATACCATTAAGAACTGTTCTGGCCTTGACATTTTTGCTGCTGTTGGCACCATTAACCATCCTTTCCCCATTAGGTACCTGAAATTTGTTTGCAGTAGGTATACCTTTTGCCTTCACATGTTGAATGTGAAGATCTCCATGTTTGTGTTTTTATCATCGTCTTTGAAATACACAAGATTCCGTCCTCAGTTGCCAGCATCCAACAAGTATTGCGTCCCACTGTCAGACGCAGTATACCTATGTTCGCAAGCTACTAGGTAGCACAAATGAAAGGGTGCTATTGCATTCATGTCCTGCTTGGGGAGTTTCCTCCAAAAGCTGGCTGATCAAAGTGTAAAAAAAAAAAAAAAAAAACCTGGATGAGATGGACTCTTGCTCTGACTCAGAATGTTATGCTACGTCCTTTTCTGCATACTCACTTCCCTGAAAAACTTAAGAGCTTATACTTTCAGTATCATCTATACGTTCATGACACCTGGCTTTAGCTCATAAACCCAGATCTTTCCCCAGAGTTCAAACATCCATCCAGTGATGCCTCTGTTGCAAGTCTGAGATTTGGATGTTTCACAGCCAGTTCACATTCAAAATGTCCAAGACTGAACTTTTCATGTTTCCTCCCACGTCTTCATTTCTACCTTCACTCTTAGTACTTATTTATTGAATTTATTTGAAAGCCACTCAGTAGCAGCACACTCTCTGGGTGGCCATTACGCACTCTCACATTTGTTAGAAAGACCATCAACTATCTTGCTGTCTAGTCACAATTTTTTTCCTCCCCCTTACTCTTCATATTCAATCGTTCTCCACAGTAATCAGTTTCTTCTTGTACAATGCTTCAAAAAGTGGAAGCCTGAATTGCTGAGACGCCCTGGTTTGCTTCATGCTTATCTAAGCAGAGAAGCAAAGTGGGACATGTGCAGTGCACAGGCGCATGCAGCCTGTGCATATTTAAGCCAAGATCTCATTTCCAATCTCTTAGCCATGGCAAAAAAGGAGAATGATGGCTTTTTCAGCTCTTCACCACCATCTCTCATTCTGGGAATCCCTTCTTTCTTTTTAATTTCATCATCCCTGATGCCGGGAAGCAGATAGCATCAGCTACTTCCCAAATGCAATACCTGGATACTATACTTTAAGCTCTTTCCTAACATAAAGAAGTAGTGAATTAAGATTCAGCAACCAGAGGAGCCTGCTATCACAGTTACATGCTACTACAGTGCCAACATTTGGAAAACACACAAATTTTCTAGATTCTTTCTTAAATTTCACAGACCAGATTTTTTAAAAAGCAATTCAATTCAGCAAGCAATTTATGTGATAAAACTTATTCTAAAATGCAAACATTATTCTAAATATGACAGGTTGTTTCCTCTCTTTTTGGGTCAAAGGATTCCTTCATCATGAACCATGGAAAGTGTGTAGCATAATACATGCTTTTCTGTTACAATGCTGTATGCTCCTAATATACAGATGCTCCTCAATGAAAGGCTATCTTTGACTGAAACATGTTGCACCCTTGTCCGAGTCCTTCTGTGGATATTTTTGTACTGAGATGATGAAGGTTTTGTCCAATTATATGTATTTATCACTGCTTTGGTGCTTTAGGAATACAGTTTGACTGTGGCATGTACTACCATTTAAAGGGGCTTCCAGCCAAGGCTCTTATTGTGCAATGCCAGTGTGTATTCACATAATTTTACAGGGCACATTATCTCCATTTGTAGCGCTCCTATGTTCTCCTACCGCTTCTTCCACTGCTTTACTTATCAGAAAAACTCTGCTAAGAAAGAAAAAAAGAGGTGCAGAGTGTCTCTTGATTTTTTGTGCAATGAGTTTTCATCTAAAAGCATGTTTTTTTATAAGTACCAAAGATTAGATTGCTATCATAGGACAACAGGAATCACATTCAGGGCATACTGTTCCTTCACATTTTTAATTCATACACTTAACACTAATATAACCAAACTAAAACTATAAATTCTGATTATAGTGCCATCTCAAATCTGTTTATTCTGAGTGGCATAAACAGTAACCTTTAGCTAACTCAGCATTCAACTATTGCATGTGGTCATACATGGAATAGGTCTAATTAACAGAATTAAGAGATCCAATTAGACATTTTTGCTAGCATACCTCATACTAGCTTAACACTTTCTAGCATAGCTCTCTTCTCCAACCAGGTACACTGCAAATGTTTTGGACTTCAGCTCCCATCACCCCCCGCCGGCACAACCAAGAATGATGGAAGCTGAGGTACAATCATCTGAGAGTACCACAGTGAGGAAGGCTGTTCTAGCATTGTGCAGCCTATGAGGTATTGCAAAGAGTAAATGTGAAAGGCTTCTAAACATTACACTGGAAACCAGAGATTTGTTATGAAATGCTTTAAAACAACGGCTGCATCTAGGAATAATTCCAAAAGCAAGAAGACAAATTCCTAAATGCAGAAGTCACAGAAACTAGAGTTAGATGTCACTGATTGGCTTTGTTTACACATGCCAACTATCACTTGCCCAAATGCAATTTAATGAAGGACTTTAAAGGGGACTTGCTTCCAAGTCAACATACATAGTACTGTGCTGCAAATATTCTTTGGGTTTGGAATAGGTAAGACCAAGACCCTTTCATCCCTATAATTCTAATCTCGCCAATATATGTTGAATTGCATTAGTATTGCAGTCCTCTTCATCATGTTCCCATCCATAAGTTATGCAGCAAATAATTAAAATATACACATCATGATAACATAGTTTTAATAAAGAGAAAGCAATTTTCTTCTGTACCACATGCAACTCAATGGACTTCCCAAAGAGCAATGTCAAATGTCTAATCGATATTTTAAGGCTTTCTCATGTTACATGCATGCAGATCTATTTTCAACTTGCATATGGGAATACTGAAGCATGTATTTTTAATGACCAGCCAAATGTCTATTTGCCCCAAAATACAGCTTACTATCAAATCAAAGATTTCTGAATATGAAATTGTGATACAGGAAACTGCTTTTACAATTTAGCAAATTCAGTAAAACTGTTCTTGCTTATTTTCTTCCAGAGCCATAGCTCACTGGGCAAAGAAAATACACCAACTTAAATAACATAGTCACATATGTCAGATTGATATTTAAATGCTCTAACCCTCCCCTTACATGAAAGACATACCACTGACCAATTTTGGCAACTGATCTTAAAGGAAGAGGGATGGGTTTAATGGCTAGCTATTTTTACCCTTAAGTGCAGCCATCTCTATTTGCAGCAGTGTATAGCAATACCCTAGCAATATCAGGAGTAATGTAATGGGAAACTACACTCCTGAATAAAAATATATGAAAGCGCTTATAACAAACACCTAAAAAATCTTAAATCTACCACCCACAAAATAATATTTTCCAATAGTATTCTACATAATTATATGCTACCTATATAATTAAACCTAAAGGACTCCTAACAAGAGCCCATTTGTAGAGGTTACCAATGAATGCTTTGGATGGGAGAAACCTACCAGCATGTCATCATATCACAGCGATATCACTGTGCTGACAGTCAATCGATAAAAGAAAAAACTAGTTTAAATATGTCAACTAAGCAACAAATGTTCTTCTTTAATATGTTCACTCTTAATGTCTATTTAAACCAGTAATCAATAGAGAATTACTACTTATGGTTTATTGAGGACCATCACAGTCACAATAAACTTCCTTCTATTAGGTCAGTCTGTTAGCCCATTAGCAAAGTATTTTCTATTTGACCTGAGGAATATTTTCCAAGGTTATCAAATAGATTTTTTAGCCCTGTTGTAGAAGAAATTTTAAAGGACTGATCACTGTAGTAATTGCTTCAGTCCCACCTGTTTCAATACAACTTAACTATGCAGATATGCACTGAATATGAACCACTGTCATTAAGAACTTTCCATACACTACTATAGTTGGGAGATTCATCAGTAATAAACTTTTGTTTACAAAAATATTTTATGGTCATGGCTTAATTCTAAATCAGTCTAACCACAGAAAGAAGCTGGGATTAACTGTGAAACTAAAATGTTTAGTAACATCAAGTGATAATTCTGAATTTATACATAAAATACGCATATATTTACCACCTCATCACACTTGTGCATCAGAAGTATACAAAATTGTTTATTTTTAATAATCAATCAAGGGTTTCTAAATTGCTTTAGTCTATTAACAAAAAATTAATAAAATGTTTGTATTTCAAGCATCTACACCTAGCTACTTCATTTCTGGGAAAAGATTTAAGTGCAAATATTGGTTCAGTGGAACTGCAATCTTTATCCTAATAATTTTAATGCCAATGGATTTGTCAGCAATGTCAAAGCATGCGGTGACAAAACTCTTTTTATTATACTATACTGGCACAATTACTGGTTTATCCTTTTTAAGCTTTTATATGTCCTTGCAGTAAATCTTAAAATCAGGTTATTAGTCCTGCTGAAAAATTAATTTGATCCAAGCAGTATTTATAATCTGATCTTAAACATTTGTCCTGAAATTGTCTGCCTGCAATATCAATATAAGGTCACAATTGTGGTGTTGCATTGGCACAGGATCCCATAGACAGTGTCTTAAGCATTAATTTGCAGAGGAGACCTGTTTGAAGATTGTGGGAGAAATACAGTTTAAGTGGGGATTTGATGGGACTGTAATCATTCTATATTTTGCAATAAGCTTAAATCTCATCATTTTCCACACATTTGGCATTTTATTTATGTAAATACATACAAATGCCTCGTATGAATTAAGGACAAGCAAATTAGGAGGTTTTTAAAACTACACACTTAGCTTGAATTACATGCATTGAAAAATCATTGCACTTGCTAACTTAAACTTATTTGGAAAAGTTTAACTGAAAATCAATAGACTTACACATGCATCCACTGAAAATCATATTTCTTGATTGATTATATTTCTTGGTTGAACTCCTATGCACACTTACCTAGGAGTAATTCCCACTGACAGCAGGAATTATTTCTGAATAGGACTGTAATGTATGGCTCCAATTCTAATCTCACTATAATATAGTATAACTTACCTACTTATGAGCAAACATGTCTAGCTTTTCCCTGTAGATTAAGGTAGTTCCAGAGACTAGTTAGCCAAACATTGTGTACCTTCAAGTGCCAAGCAGAAACATATCCTCTAACTGAAAATGCCAGTGACTGAACATTATATATGCAAGGCATGTGCTTCACTATTAAACTACTACTGAGCTAAGTTCAGGTAATTAATGGATCTACTTCCTAGTTTTATGCTAGATTCTTCAGAAGATCTAAACTACAGAAGAGAAAATCATATGTAAATAAGTGGGACAATAACAAGTTATCTAGAGGTTCAAAAACTGATTTAAAAATTAGCATTCATTCAAACACCATGTGAAGCCCTTTTAAACAAAATGAGCTCCAGAACTTCCTTTGAAGTCCTACATATTTCAGCTGAAAGTTTTTCCCAACCCAAGTGATCCAAGAACCATAGCTTTGAGTATGACACAGAATGCATAGTTACTGATCTACAAACTTATGTTGCAGTGAGTAACTCCAATACAGCTCCATGGTACTTACTTACAAGGAAACAAGATCAGGCTGAATATTAACAACAGCTAACAAAGTTGGCTGGGGAAGGGAGAGAAGCTTTCCAGAAACTTTTAATTAACAGAGTCTGTAAGAATTTACTGATAAGTTTCCACAATATGTGTATCTTCTCCTTCATCCCCATAAAAAGCTCAGAAGTAATTCTTAAGGTTATTTTCCCAGCCCAAATATGAAAGATACTACTAAGTGATCAAGTTAACAATCTGTTCCCTAAAGCCCCTAGTTAGCCAACCTTTGAATTACAAAATTAAAATCACTCTGAAAGAAATGGTCACTCTTAAAACTCAAGACACGCAATGTTATGGAACTGCTATAGAAATGTTGTTATAACTTATTCCAGCCATTCTGAAAATTAAATAAAATGTATTCATTTTAAAAGTGGGCATCCCTAAACTGTGATGTTTTTAAAAACCCTCCAGTGATCTATGACTGATCAAGGCCTAAGGTATAATTCTACTGCATTGTGTTGTGGCTGTTACCTTTCAAGAGTCTTGGCCCTTTCCAAAATGCTACCATAATCTCAGAATCATCACTACTGTTCTAAAGAGACTATTTGAAAATAACTCCTGACAGCCTATTGTATAACCGACCTAATTCACTCACTGAATAATCAACAAATATTCAAAACATTGAAACTTTGCTATACAGGATTCTTACATTTCAAGAATAACCTTACATCACTTAGCAGCCTTTTAGTTCTGCCAGCTGCAATAAAAGTGTCATTCACGAAATGCAAAAGTGTCAAATGTCAGGAGAATTGCTATGGAAAACGCCCTTACCCAAGCTTATACATGACACATCAAAGGGCGTTGGTATAAGATACCACCACTCTGCTACTGGTATACCCGCATGGAAGAACAGCCGAGATCGGTGGAGCTACAAAACTGAAGCGGGAGGTAGCTAATATGGAAAAATGAGATGGCATGGCCTGGCCTGAAAATACAGGAAGTGTGCATAGTTACGTTCCTCCCCACCCCTCAATCTTATAAAATACGCACCCAGCCAGGGTCATCCACATCTCCTGCCCATCAAGGGAGGACAAGATGATCCCGAAAGCCTTAATTTCACTCCTGGGAATTACTATCCCCATGCTGCGGCCAGGGGATCGCCAAGACTGGCGAACGGCGGAGGCTGGGATCGGGGACCGGGGGTGGGGAATTTGCGCTGCGGAAGAATTAAAAAAGCGGGCAGAGAGCACTGACAAATCCTGAGGCCGGCTCTGCAGACAAACCAGACCAGTTCTCTTCCTCCTCCACTAGGCACAAGTGTTTGACTAAGCCGGCTTAGAGGGCCGACCCTGGCGAGACCCGCGACTAGGGACGACGCAGGGAAGAGCGCGGCGAGGCCACCGCCTCTACCGCTCCCTACCGCACACCGACCGGCAACCGGAGCACGAGAAGAGGGAGGGGTGGGTGGCGTCGAGAGGGAGAGGGAGAGGGAGAGAAAAGCTAGGAGAGCAAGATGGCGACGGCGACGCCTCGTCCCGTTTCCCGGATCCGATCCTCCCGCCCCATCTGCTTGCTGAAGGGGGTGGGCGGCGACTGACCCGGGCCTCCCGTCCTCCCGGGCTCGGGAAACGGCCCCCCGATTTGCTCCCCATGCCTCTCTCCTCCTCCCCACAAGCGCCGTACACCGAAGGGGCTGCGAGCGAAAAGACCCGAACGCTTTTCTTTCCTCCCGCCCCTCCTCCTCCACCCACGGCTTCGCCCTCCCTCCAGCCTTCCACTCCTCTCCCTTCCCTCCGCGGCGATTTCTCTTTAGTACCTTTGAATTTGAGGTCGGTGGGCGGATCGAGCACCAGGATCTGATCGTGCTTGGTCAGAGCCCCGGCGGCCGCCATCGCTGCTTACACGCTCGCTCGGTCCTGGAGGAAGGAGGAGGAGGAGGAGGAGGAGGAGAGGGCGGGCAGGGGGGAGGACGGGAAGGGAAGCCTACCGAGCAGGACTAGCGGCAGCAGCAACCCCCGCCTCCCTCTCCGCCTCGCCTCAGCCTCTAGGCAGCGGGCGCGCGCGCGTGGAGTCCCCCTTCTCCTTCCCCGCTCCTCTCGTTGAGCTTTCTCCTCCTCCTCCTCCTCCTCGTCCCTGTAAGGCCTGACTCACTCGAAGCCCAGCGCACTGCGATCAACGCCAACTCCGGCGCGGGCACGAGGGCAGTGGCCGCCTCGTCCTCGCACCCGCACGTCAGCCCGCGGGGAAGAGGAGCGCGGACGCGAGCGAGCGAGCGAGCACACCGGCACGGCGGGCGTCGCGTCTCCGCTCGCCCGATCGTTCGCTCGCCCCTTTCTGCGTGTGTGAGTCTTTCCGGCCCACGTTGGTTGACAGCTCGCTAGACACGGGTCTCTTCCTCCACTCACGCGGGCCAAGGGGAGTTATCACGCGCGTCCGGAAGGCGGGAGAGACTAGCCAAGGAATTTAATAGGAGGGAATTCGCTTTGCAGGGGGAGAGAGCGCGCGATTAGCGTGCGATTCTCGGAGCAAATAGGAAATTCCTCAGGGAGAGGAAATTTGACACCGAAACGTTAAGCGCCAGGCTCCTCAACGTAGCAAAAAAAAAAGGTAGGCGGGCCGAGGGATGGGATTCCCAGCATGCCGTGCGCTCTTCAAGCTCTTGGGCTGTTGCATTCTGGGAAGCGTAGTCTCCAAGTGGAGAAACGGGGCGGATTCGATGGAAGGAGAGGGCGGAGTTAGTAGGTTCGTTCCAACCTTGGCCCGCTCGAGATTTCCCTCTGTATTAGTTATCCTCTGTATTAGTTACGTTAGGCGGGTTAACTAACACTGCCCTCTGTCCCTCTCTGGTAAGAGCTGGACAGCATTCAATACGTAATACAAGCATGACTAACTTCTGCTCGGAAACCAGAAGCGGCGGATAATCCGGATTTGTAAACCTGCGAATTCGTAGGGTTCTTAGATAACATTCTGTGTGCTTACTTCACTATACTTTCCCAGTTAGGTAAATATTGGTGAGGGTAAAGCTGCAGAAATCACAGAAGCAACATTAAAGAAATCTATCCAATTGAACTGTCCCATTACCTCTGACCATATGTCTTTCCCCGTGTTTCAACATCCCAGCTCTCTGTACAGTTTAGTAGTGCTCAGTTCTTTCTTTGCAGCAAAGCTGAAGTGGCTCAATCAGTAAATTTGAACTTGAAGTTTATATGCTACATCCCGAAATAGGGTTTGACACATCCCCTTCAGGACTGGGAGATGCCACCTTTAAGAGTCACAACGATTTTCTCCAAAGAAAAATGTCATTTTTGTGAAATACTTAATACATTGTGATCCCAGATGACAATAATAAGGAAGTAGAAAGTGTGGTGTGAGCACAATAAGAGTCCTATTGCATTATTCAGCAACCTATAAATTTGAGAAATAAGTTTTGGGGTATCCTAAATATTCACCCATAACCATCAGGGAAGTGTCTGCTATCAGGTGTCTTTGGATGACTTCCAACCCAATGCTTTGTCAAACATGGTAGCGCACACCAACAGCAGCCAATATATGTAAAAAATGAGTGTTGCCAAGGTAATTGTAGACTACACATTCTCCATTCCTTATTTGGTTTTGTTAATTGAAGCTATCTCATATTAATAAGCACGTGCACAGAAGCAAAGAGAGAGACGGTGTTTCTCCAAGTGGGCAGGAGTACCATCCTAAGGAGCATTTCTCCAAGGTATCCCAAGAGGGAATTGTTTGGGTTCTGTTGTATGCATACAAATGTAGCGAACATGAATATCGGGCTATTTGCCAGCAGTCATAGCATCATCCCCACCACAGCTAGAAGGCAGACTTCAAGGTTTCCCACCAGTGCCTTAAAATTTTGTAGACTTTTCATCAAATACATGAACTGTTATAGTTGACAAAGGCATTGTAAACTGGGGTCAACAGAAATGAGTGCTATGGCTGTCTCTGGCAGATACATCAAAAACTGGCCTGTTCATGGATTTGAAAATTACAGGAAAGATGTGAAGTCACCAATAGGAAGCAATGGATGTTAGATACCTTGGCCAAGGATGCTGTAGTAGTAGTAAAGAGAGAAATATTGATATGGTGAGCTTCCACTGTACCACATCTGGCTTTTTTCACCAAGTCAGCTTATAAAATAGTGTAATTTTTATAAAACCATCAAATTATTAACTAACATTTCAGAAAACACAACCACAAAGGGAGTAACATTAAAACATAAATGTGTTCTTGGGGCACTTCCAGATGGTCTTTTATGATGCAACCATTTTGTCCCATTTATGAAATCTTACAGGGAGTATAAACAACATATTTCATCCATACCTCTCCTATGTTTTCCCACCACTTCTTCCTTTCCACAAAAATCATTTTAAAGAAAAAAGTGGAAAAGTTAGTAGCACTAGAAACACAGCAGCATAGGAATTATAACTAACTTGTCTTATCGATTTCAACAGATCTACTCTAAGAATGACTTGAGTCATTTAGAACAAAGTCTAACTGCTCAGGTGGATTTTCTCCTGGGTAAGTACATAAGATTGCAACCCAGATTTCTAGCATACTGACTTCCTCTTAGAACATGACAGCAATATATAATTGGCAATATATTGTTTTTGTGAAATTGCATTACAGTAAATTTGTGTAATGCAGAAGAGGCAAGATCTCATTGCATTTTTAATTTAATTAACATATTCCTGACTACAAATATGTGCAGCTCTATAGTTTGTGTACTGTTGCTTGAAACTGGTAGTATACCATTAATACTATTCTTGCATTTTCCTGAGGTGATTTATAAAATATTTATTCCTTTTCAGTCAGCTTGTATAGTTTTATAGATGGAATCTCTGAGTCTTCTGTTGAATTATTCATAGGACCACAGAGCAAGTGATACCAATAAGAACTTGCTAGATTGCAGCTTGCAACTGATACTGTGTGCAATAGCTATTACTTCTTTCAGATTTTGAGTGCATTTTATAAAATAGATCTCTCCTTAAACAGTCTTTAATGATAAGGGCAAAACTTATGAATAGCTGTTTGTGTGTCCGGTCTTACATTCCTACTTCCTTTGAGTTGCCAGGTCCAGATTCTAGCATCATTAAAAAGGAATATTGTGTTAGATTTCCCCATTTGCTAATAGTGTGATAAAGATAGCAGCCACAGGCAAAATATTCCCTTTGTTCTAACATCCAAACATTACCCAGTGATCAGATGATTTCATCTTAAGAGTGACCATGAGATGTCATGACTTCACATAAGTCATTCCCCACTCCCCCGCCTCTTTCCTCAACCAGCTTGTTGATAAAGAGGCCTAGAAAGCTGGAAATTGCACTAACAAAGTAATTATGTACACTACTTTTGGTCTGGGGTATTTTCTGTATGGCCAGGAAAGTTGCCTTTGGTTTTTGGGTCTCTCTCTTCTGCCATTCTCCCAGCCTTTCCCAGCCTAGTACTCTCCAGATGTTTTCAACTACAATCCCATCACCTGTGCCTGCATAGCCATTCACCAAGGATGATGGAAATACTGGTTTAAAACATCTGGAGAGTACAAGATTGCAGAAGGATGGCTCAGAGCCTTGAACTGGCATCCCTAGCTCCTCATATTATGCATTCCCCATGTTTATTCCTTCTTTAAAATGCCAAATGATTTGTGGTGCTTCCCCCATTGTTTGCAAAACATATTATTGACAAACATTGCCTTGTAGAAATATTCACACACACCCTTTGGTTTTTCAATATTATGTTGTTACGACCTGAAGTGGATTTAATTGGCAATATTACCACTTAATGTATGCAAGATACTCAACACAGAGAAGGTGCAAAATATGTTTATTCTGGCACAAAGCTTTTTTAAAAAAACAGGCATTTATCGATTGCATAAATATTCCCTAAACACACAGCCAAAAAAAGGGGAGGGGAGGGGGACAAGACCCAGAACTTCTTAGAATTTAATTGAGAATCTGTGGCAAAATTTTAAAGTTGCAATTTACCACTGATCCCCATTCAACCTAACAGAGCAGAAGCACTTTTGCCAGAAAGATCAAGCAAACATTGCAGGATTCAGATGTGTAAAGCTGATGAAGACTTACTCAAGAAGCCTCACAGTTGCTGCCAAAGGTGCTTCTACCAAGCATTGCCATCTGCACAAGAGAAAGTCATTACACACGCATCCAGTGGTCCTCACAAAATTCTTTTAAAGCTAAAAGTCTGGGCTGCTTGCATTGATATAAGGTTTACATGGGGTAGTATATAAATGAGGGGGAAAACATTTGAAGCTGGGCTTTCCATTTAATTTTAGGTAAAAATATATGTCAGAACTCCAATCTAAATACTTTAAGAGATTAGAATGAGTAACTGGATGTTTGAAGCACACCTAACATTTCCTCAAAGATGTTGTCAGAAACCCTGGCATGTCATTGTGAAGTTACAGTTGTGTTTGACACGTCACTCCTAAATTCAGCTTCATTTTGCTTTAATATATATTTTTAAAGTACCAGTTTATACAGACAAACATGCCAGACTGAAGCCTTTAAAATTGATGAAGAAAATCACATAGTGCAGAAAGTATATTCTACACTACATTATGCTTTGCAATGACAACACAGTGATTAACTTTTTAATAACCAATTTTGCTTCTTTTGCTGTAAACACAGAACATAAAGACATAATACCTTACCAAAGTGTTTTTGCAATAAATTTTATCCATTTATTACACCTATTTCCATGACTGATTGATCTGAAATAGAAGCAAACCATTTTTATTAGCTTTGCTACCTCTGTCCTCACTGCTGATGTGCTTTCCTCTCTGTACACTCCTGCACACATGCCTGTGAGCTGGGAGAATGGGCATCAAAGTGGTTCAGTGTAAGTGATGCATCCTGGGGCAAACAGTTCCAACTTCAAGTATAAGCTGATGGGATCTAAGCCATCGAGGAATGACCAGGGGTAGCGGCAGACAGATCAATTCAATGGCGGCTCTTGTGAAAAGGGCAAATTTCACTCTATGCATAATTAGGAAAGGAATCAAAAATGAAACTGCAGCTCTACAGTGCAGTCACATTTGGAGATGTGTACAGTTCTGCTCTCTGCATCTAAGATTGCTTTTGGACATTCATGGCAGGAAGAAAAGCACTTTTATGTTATGGTATGTACTACCTAAGACTTTTGGGATTTTATGAAGAACTTGTGTTTTCCTGCAGATAACAATGCAAAAATGTTGTTTCTGGTGTTTGCTGCTTGTGAGAAATAAGCTCTGCTACCAAAAACACTGTGCATTCCATCACAAATGAAACAGTATACGCCAGGTTTGTGATTTATATCCCATCCCTTTTCCCAGAGCTCAAAATTATAGTTAAATGATCTGGAAAAAGAACAGTTCCTGGGATGTGTGAATAGCTCCAGGCATTTTAACAGCTTGTTAATCTGAAAATAATCGGTTACATAGCTGAATATACAATAGTTTGCATAACCAAGGAGTGGTGGAAGCATCTGCAATCATTTCTTAATCAAAATTCAAGGACGTTCTGCAGCATTATAATTACACATCCATA